AACTACAAAAAATGAGAAGATGGAAGCAGGAGAGACAGAGACACAGAGACAGAGATCAAAGGCTAGATAGAGAAGCTCTCTACCACGCTAGCTTGTTTGCTGGAGGCTGAATTATCAGTAGGAACTCTGAAATGACTACCTTCCACAAACTTTTTAAAGTACCCTAGTGTGCTTGGTCTTTCTGATTTGGCCATGCCTTCCCTTGAGACTGAGGCTACATCTTGAGCCACGTCCTTGGAATAAACACTGGTATGGTCTTAAGGGACTCCTGATGAATAGCAAAAGATACTGCTATCATGAAATTCAAAGCCTCTCTGCGGCTGTGTGCCCAGAACAGCGAGAGTAATGATGGGTAACATGGGTTTAGGAGTGATCAGGCCCAGGACATACGATGGGACACATTCTTGTCTGGGCTCACGAAGAATTAGAGATACAGACAGAGGGGATAGTAAGCAGAGTTTTAAGATAGGAAAGGGAGGCCAGCAGGTGGCATAGAAGTAAAGGTGCTGGACTCCCATGTGACCAACTGAAGTTCAAATCCTGGACCCAGTGACTTGAAACTCATGCCAGGCACATGTGTGTGCATGTGCAACATCCCAAGAAGAGAATGAAGGAGAAGGGATAGCGGCATGGCCATCCCCCCAGGGAAATGATTTCTGGCTTTTTCTATTTTTCTCTGTCTCTCTGGCAAGTGCACTTGCCCTATAGCAAAAATCACTCAAAAACAAAACAAAACAAAAAAAAAAAAAGAGGAAAGGAAGACCAGCGCTTCTAAGCAGGGAGCAGATCTCAGAAAACAGGTTGCCCAAAAGGAACTAGGGCTGGGTTGTGGGGGAAGGTGTTTAATCTTGGTCAGGAAGGGCTTTGTCTGGGCTTGTTCTAGGTGTGTCTTGCACATGAGTGCTTCTGCCCCCACCCCATAATGAGTGTCACATGCTGGATGGGTCTGGTTATTCTAATTTTGGAGTAGGTGTGAAGGGTAGGAGATTCTTTTTTGTCTAGAAGCTTTGGGCCATACAAACCATTTTCTTCCTAGAATGTGGTAAGGCCTGGAAAAAGCCTTTGTTTTAGATCATGCTGCCTAGGTTCATCACTGAGCTAATGTTGCAAGTCATTTATCCTGAGTAGGCAGCTAAGCTGTTGTGTCTCCATCTTAAAATTTATCCATTTTGTGATTCCATTTTGGGCCTATACCCTAACTATATTCTTAGGGACCTTGTCACCTATCTCACTAAGACCAGACTTATTCTTTATTTCACCAGAAACATTTTTATATATTGCCACAGACTTATTTATTTATTTATTTTCAATTTTTGCAATGGGGTGCATGTGCTCGCAGGAGAAACAGAGAGAGGGAAAATAAGGAACTTCCCGAGGGGATGGCCATGCTGAAGCCCCTTTTCCATTCTTCTCATGGGATTTTGGGCACATATGCATGCACGCACATGCACCTGGTGTGAGTTTTCACACCACTGGGTCTGGAACTCAAATTGTGCAGTCAGCTATGTGGGATCCAGTGTCTTTTTTCTTTTTGAGAGGTTTTTGCTATAAGGCGCGTGTTCTCGCCAGAAAGACAGAGACAGAAAGATAGAAAGTGAGAAATCACCCCCCAGAGGGGATTGCCATGCTGCAATCCCTTCTCCTCCATTCTCCTTTCAGGATCTTGGGCACACATACACACGCGCTTGGTGTGAGTTTAAGCCACTGGGTCTAGGACTCGAACCACAGTCGACTACATGGGAGTCCAGCAACAAGGCCATTACACTAACTGCTGGTCCCTGGGATCCAGTGTCTTAACAAAATATTTATTTTAATGAGAGTATATGCTCATGCCATTGAACAAGTGAAGTGACAAGAGAAAGGAAGGGAGGGGAGATAGCGAGGGAAGAGGACATAAAGAAAGTGGTATTTAAAAAAAGTATTTATTTTTTTTGGAGAGGTTTTTTGGTATACGGCACATGTGTTCGCCAGAAAGACAGAGACAGGAAGACAGAGAGAAATCACCCCCCAGGGGGGTTGGCCATGACACAGTCCCTTCTTCATTCTCCTCTGGGGATCTTGGGCACGCACACATACGCATCCAGCATGAGTTCAAGTCACCAAGTCCGGGACTCAAACAGCAGTTGACTACATGGAAGTCCAGCGACATAGCCATTATGCTATCTGCTGGGCCAGAAAGTGGTATTTTTTTAAAAAATTGCCAGAGAGTATATGGGCTCCCCGAGAGAGAGAAAGAGAAATGTCAATAGAATTAACCAACTGTGTAGAAATAATAATGTGGTTTATTTCTTTTTCTTTTTTCTTTTTTTTAAGAGAAAGATTTTTGTTATAGGACTTGCCCACTCACCAGAGACACAGACCGAAAGCGATAAATTACCCCCCAGGGGGATGGCCATGTCACAATCCCTTTTCCTCCATCCTCCTCTTGAGATTTTGGGCACATGTACATAGTCCTAGAGTAAGCTTTAAGGTGCTGGGTCTGAGACTTGAACCACTGTCAACTTCGTGGGAATCTAGCGATATAACCATTACATCACCTGTTGGTCCCAGTGTGGTTTATTTCTAAGCACAAATGTAAGTGACTGACCTGGAGAAAGATGAACATGTTTTTTGGGATGCTGAGATACAGTGGTTCCTTTTATATAGTTTTGAGGACAGGAGAGTTGTCAATCAGTATAAGAAGTCTTTTAAATTGGTCCAGCCCCAAAAGGTGGGGACATCTGGAAGTGGAGGCTTGTTTGTTTTAGGTGAATTTGAAAAAAAATTTTTTGAGGGAGAGACAGAGACAATAAGAGAGAAAATTAGAAATAGACCCTGTTTTTATTTTATATATTAATTATAATTATAACTCCCAGTAATGCTAATTTTTTTTTGGAGAGGTTTTTTTTCTATAGGGTACGTGCGTTCGCCAGACAGACAGAGAGAGACAGAGAGATAGAAAGCGAGAAATCATCCCCCAGGGGGGATGGCCACGTCGCAATCCCATCTCCCATTCTCCTCTCGGGATCTTGGGCATGCACGTACATGCACCCGGTTTGAGTTTAAGGCACTAGGTCCGGGACGCGAACCACGGTCGACTACGTGGGAGTCTAGCGACATAGCCATTACGCTAACTGCTGGTCCCTCTCCTTTGGGATCTTGGACATGCATGCACATGGTGTGAACTTCAAACCAGTGGATCTGGGACTCAAACTGCAGTTGGCCATGTGGGAGTCCAGCGACATAACTGCTACGCCATGTGGTTGCCCTCAAAATTCTTAGATTAGTACCCCTGTCCAGGATCCTGATGGAATGGAGAATTGGAGTAAAAAGGATTGTGGTATGACCAGGCCCCGTTGGGGGATGTGCACGTTCTCTCTTTTTCTCTTACTTGCACACGTGTTCTGGCATTAAATAAAGAAAAAAAAACTATCTTTTTTCAAAAAAAAAATTATTTTTTGTTATTATTTTAAAATTTGACCAAAGAGAGACAGAAAGAAAGGGAAAGTGAAAAAGCAAGTGGCCAGATCTGAGATTCAAATTGCAGTAGGCCACGTGGGAGTTGAGTGCCTTAGCCACCACACCACCGGCTGTCCCCCCCCCAAAAAAAAAACCCACCATTTTTTTTTTGCCCAAATGAATTCCTCCTTAAGTATCATTTTACCACAATTTTTTGAAGTTATGTTATATTATCATGTAAGTGTTAATCTTCATTAATACAAAAAGAACTTCTGAAAAGTAGAACTGGACAAAACCATACTTAAAAATGAGAATTGAGGGACCAGCAGTTAGCATAATGGCTATGTCGCTGGACTCCCAAGTAATCGACTGTGGTTCGAGTCCCGGACCTGGTGGCTTAAACTCACGCCGGGCGCATGTGCGTGCGTGCCTATGATCCCAAGAGGACAATGGAGGAGAAGGGATTGCGGCATGGCCATCCCCCCTGGGGGGTGATTTTCTGCTTTCTGTCTCTCTGTCTCTCTCTGTCTATCTGGCGAAGGCACACGCCCTATAGCAAAAACCTCCCCCCCCCCCCCCAAAAAAAAAAAAAGAGAATTGAGGGGCCAACATGTAGTGTAGTGGTTAAGGCACTGGACTTCCACATGGCTCACTGCAGTTCAACTCCCGAACCTGCCTGCTTAAAATATCATGCCAGGCACATGTCAATGTGTGCTCAAATTCCCAGGGGGAGAACAGAATAGAAAGGATTGCAGCGCAGCCATCCCCTCGGGGGGATGATTTATCACTTTCCCTCTCACTGTCTCTCTCTGGCAAACATACATGCATTATGGCAAAAATCTTAATAAAAACGAAATAGAAAACAAACAAACAAACAAAAAAAGAGAATTGGCTGAGCCAGCAGGTAGCATGGAGGTTAAAGTGGCTGAATCCCACATGGCCTACTTGATTTGATTCTTGGCCCCAGCAGCTTGAAAATCCCAATGGTGCATGTGTGTGCTTGCCCAAAATTCTGAGAGCAGGATGGAAGAAAATGGATTGCAGTGTGGCCTAACCCCCTTTCAGGGTGCTTTCTTACTTTGTCTTTCCAGCAGTCACACATGTTGTATGGTAAAAACCTTAAGCTAAACAAAACAAAAGAATTGGCATGAACAGAGAGTTTACAGAAAAAGAAATGGCACTTTATACT